CACTTTAAGATATGAAGACACGATTTATATGTAGTTAGATACGAGCTATTTACTAATCATAAAAGTTTTAAGTACATATTTACTTAGAAAGCAATAGATCTGACGCAGAAAAGATGGTTGGAGTTTATTAAAGATTAAATAGATCTGACGCAGAAAAGATGGTTGGAGTTTATCAAAGATTATGATTTTGATATTCACTACCATCTAGAAAAGATAAATGTGATGGCAGATGCATTTAGTAGAAAGTTTTTAGGTAATATGAACTATTTATTTATTCACTGAAGTAGTTATTTAAAGATTTGAAGTTGAAACTATCTGTAATTAGTTATAATGATGATAGTATGGTTCAACAAAATCAGTTACTTGTGCATTCCACTTTGAATGGTATAATTGAGATATCATTAGCCAGAGATAGCAGTGTTCGAAAAATTTTGGAGCAGGTTAAAGCAGTAAGGTTTAAAATTTATGTGTTAGATCAAGACGACTTGTTGAAATATAAATGCAAAGTTTACATTTCAGATGTTGACAATTTGAGATGGGAGATTCTGGAGAAAGCATATTTATCTAACTATACTATTCACCCAGGGAGTAAAAAAAATATATCAGGAGGCCAAGATTGAAGAGGAGGGTGTCAGAAGTTGTGGCTAAGTACCCTACACGTCAGCTAGTGAAGGAAAAATATCAGCATCTTGGAAGTCAGTTACAGCCCTTATCAATTCCAGAGTGGAAATGAGAAGAGATCGCCATGGACTTTGTCATTGGATTGCCTAAATCGTGTCAGGTATGATGTTATTTGGGTAAATGTTGATAGACTAACTAAGTATGCCCATTTATTACTCATTAGACAGATATATGAAGTTGATAGATTAGTCAGATTATCTAAGAATCAAATTGTGAGATTGTATGGAATGTTTAAGACAAACATGGCAGATTTACTTCCAGATTATGGAAGAATATTTAAAAGGTTTTAGACACCAGATTGACTTTTAGTACAGTCTTTCACCCTCAGATAGATGGCCACTCAAAAAAGACTATTCAGAATTGAGAGAATCTACTAAAGTTGTGTCTTTGACTTTGGTTGAAGATGGGAAACACATATACCTTTAGTAAAATTTACTTACAATAACAGTTAACAAACTAGCACTGGGATGGCTCTGTATGAAGTTTTGTATGGAAGAAAGTGCAGGATACGTTTATGCTGGACTGAATCAAGTGAAAAAATGTCAATGGAACTAACTTAGTTGATGATGCTACAAAGAAGATTAGGATGATTAGAGACATTAAAAGCAGTGCGGGATAGACAAACAAAATATTATAATAAGATGCACAGACCACTAGAATTTGAAGTTGGAGAGTTTGTCTATATCAAAATCAGTCCATTGAAGGGTGTGTAACATTTTGGGGAAAAAGAAAATTGAGTCCAAGATATGTCGGTCCATATGAGATTGTAGAGAGAATTGAAAATGTAGAATATTGATTAGCTTTACCAGCTCATATGTCACAAAAGTATGATGTTTTTCACATTTCTTCAGTTAAAAAGTTTATTACAGATGAATCAAGTAGGGACATAGCGGACTCATGCAGTCAAATTTGACTTGTATTAAGAATCCAAAAAGAATACTAAAATATGATATGAAGAAGCTTCATAATAGAAATGTTCCATTTGGGAAAATTTTATGAAAGCACAAATCAAAGAAAGACGCTACTTGAGAGAAAGTTTATGATATGCAAGAAAGATATCCGCAACTATTCATTTGAGGTATATTTGTTTTTATATTAAACTTTTTAACTTTCAAGCATAAAATTTTATAAGGATAAGTGATTATGATTACTAAAATAAATAAGAATGATATTAAGAGTTTCAAATCAGCATGGAGTAACTATTAGATGGTTTCTTCTTTAGAAGTTCAAGGATGGGGCAAACATGGTCCATTTCTTCATATCAGCTGAGAGTGAGAGTGGGAGACAAAGAAAAGAAGAGGAAGGGTCTCATGTAAACACTAGTTGGGATGAGCAGAGAGATCAAGCACTTATCCAGGATTAAAAGTGTCGCCTTCAATGTGGATTCCTGTGACAGACAAAATGGAAGGAGATGAAAAATTGGTTGCAGCCTTTTCGTGCAGAAGAAGAAGAATCAAGGGCTCCCTATGCCCTTTTATGTGGGTAGTCGACGTCGCTGCTTAATGTGGGTTTGTCTGAGATTATCGAGGTCGGTGCTGCATTGTGTTGGTGTGCGTGGAGAATTGGTCGATGAAGAAGAAGGGAGAGGAGCAGGCGAAGGCTCGACGTCATGTGTGAAGTGGAGAGTCAGCCAAGACTAAACCCTAATCGAGTGGCTCTGGTGCAAAGATGGAGGAAGGAAGACAACCGCTAGCATGTGTTGTGCTGGGTCGAGTCAAGATCGAAGGCAGAGGATAAAGAGGAAGTTGCATGTGTGCGGGTTAGGGTAGTCGATCAAGGATTAAAAAAGTGATTTTAAGATTTTAATTGGGTTATTTAATAAAATTTATGTGTGTGTGTGTGTTTGTGTTTAATCAATGTTCATAGAATGTTTTATTAAATCATGACTTAAAATATAGAAATTTCGGTTTGGAATGAGAAGTTGATGAAGTGTGCAAGCTAAGGGAGGACAGAGATCGATCCAAGAGGGAGGAGAGAGATCGATCCAAGCAAACTTTGGTAAGGTAAGAGTTTGGGTGTTTATTTATATAAAATATTTTATTTTATTAAATGCATGTTATTAAGTATGATTTAATGAATTTAAATAGTTTAAGCAAGTAATCAGAGGATTAAGCTTGTAAAGAGGTCATTTAAGGCAAAGGTGAGTAATTATTTTCATATATAAATTAAATTGATGTTTAATTAAATAAAGACTCATCTCAATGCTTCAGACAATTATTTTTATGATTATATGAATGTTGTATGAACGTTGGAAGCTTAGGAATTAGTTAAATGAAATAAAAAGGGGAAAAAAATGATTCTTCAATGTTTTTAAAGAAAATAATTTTTAAAAAAAATGTAAAGGCACAAGTCATTCAGGATTGCCCCTAGATGATACTATCAAGGAATGCAATGTATTCTTGCACAAAAAAGAAAATGAAAATAGTAAAGTTGCACCTTCCGGTGCAAAATTTTGAGAACATCTATGAGTATAACTTTTAAGATACTTTTGAGTATGACAGTAATCCGGACATAAATTTTTAAAAAGGTTAAAAAGGATAAATACTTGATTTGAGACGGGAATAGTTAAATTTAAAATGAAAACATAAGATTTGATTAAGTAATGAACTAAGTTTCTTTTGATTATCCATGTATAACATTTGCATATGAATTTAATGCATAATAAGTTTGTAATTGCCCACAAAGTCGTGAAAACTTACAACTGAATTTAATTGTTTTTTTCAAGAAAATTATAGATTGATATGTGTGACATGAGAGATTTTGTTCACAAGAGGAGAACTATAGCTGATAAGTCATATGTTGTGATGTAATTATAGTTTTTTTTTTTTTTTTTTTCTAATGGGCAGTGAGATAGTATTACATGTTATATGAGAGGTTGTCTACAAATTATGTTGTTATTTATGATGTTTTGATTTCTATGTAGTGTACTCTAGGGTTTCTTAATTGCTCTTTTATATATTGGAAGTCATGAAAATTTAAGTAAATGAAATGTTCAAACCATCCGACCGTAGTTTTTGGCTTAGTTAATGTAAGCTATCAGGTCAAGTCATGATAGAAATGAACTAAATATTTAAAATTGAACAGTCTTAAAATGTTGCACAGGTTATAGTTGTTTAATCACTTGCTCTAATAAGTGTGCAATGTTCTTTTGAAAAATCTAAGCTTGTTTTAAAATTAAAGAACCCATATATTTAAGTCAAATTCAGGATAATCAAACACTGCACGCTCACATCGGGCATCCTTGTCTTTAGGGCGGGGTAATAAGTTTCACACAACTAGTCTGATCCTCCTCATATAGACTCGATTTGACGAGTCTATCAATTGCAATGAATATCTAAATCATAAATATAATAATTTGCAAATCCAAATCACTTAGTTTGATATCCTTCTCATCAGAACTGAAATTGACATGACTTGTTATCTAAAGATATTAAAATTTATGAAGTTTAAATAAATTTCAAACATATATATTTTAAATATTCAAAATCTTCGATAATGGCTAAATTCATAGAAGATTTCAACCGAAAGAATCATTTTTAAATCAATATTTCAAAAAAAAACTAAAAATAAAACTCAAATTAAAAACTAAGCACTTCAAAAGATTAAAGCAAATTACATCCACCCTCCATAAACATTTGTCAAGGCGACAAACTTTTGATTGACTTCAGCTCATAAAAAAATGAATATCACATCATGAGTATCGTTATATTCATATTCAAAATAATTTCACGCTAGTAAAAATGTGGCCCAAATCCTATGTCTCTGCGGTTTGGCCTCCACTAAAAATAGTGATTACGACCAGATCCCTCTAACTAAGTGGTTGTCGCCAAATGATACTATTATATTGCGAACACAGTTGCAGCTCGTATGTTCCCTAACCATTTTTTACCCTTTGAGTTATGAATCATAAATGTGCATTTGATTTGGAACAAATCCTTATATGAGCTAAAGTTGACTAAATTTGTCCCCTTGGATAAACTTCAACCCCATATTTGCAAGAGTCTCTTGGACGGATATAGTTCATGGTTGCTTATAGGGATTCTTCTTTCTGGTTGGGTCGACAACATTTTCTTTTATCAAAATCCTATGAAGCCACTTCTTAACCCAATGCTCCATTTAATACTTCCATTTAAATGGTCATAAATGCTTCCATTTAATTAAAAAGGCAAAAAAGGCCCAAAAAGACTTTTATTTCTCGATAAGAAGTTACAACATTGTTAAAAACAAGTATGAAGTCTATCACGAGCAGTATATTATATATTATTAAACATTTTAATCAGAAAAATCTAAAATACTAAAGATACGGAGCCTTTCACTACCTGCATTGTCAGAGTTCCTGAATTATTATCCTCTTCACCATGGATTAGCAAAAGTGGCTTCTTGATTTTGTTTGCTGACATGAAAGGGCTCATGTTAACATATGTATCGATAGATTCCCATAACGTTCTGTCTTCATTCTGTATCAAAATGCTAATCAGAAAATCCCAGTTCATAAACAGTCATCATGCGGAAATTCAAAGAATAAAAAATTAAAAAAATAAATAAAAACTGGAAGGCAGATTCCATGCTACTATGCAGAAAAGGAACCTTGTAGGGAAGAGAAGATGAAACCGAGCTGTCAGAAAAAAAATAAAAGAAAATAGGGGTATTTACGAACATAGCACAGAATTCTTAAGTAAATACATGTATCACATCAAAATATTCATGCTCACACACAAAGCACTCAAATCTTTAATATCACACCTTAAGTAAATACATGTATCACATCAAAATATTCATACTCACACACAAAGCACTCAAATCTTTAATATCACATCAACAATAGCCCTGTTACCACTTTTAAAAATGAAACCACCTTTCATGCATAGGTTTGAAATACCAAAGTGCCATGTGAGTAAATGTGAAAGTTTAGGTGTGAGATATGTAATTACATAAGAATTGTGTGCCCCAGGTATGTAAATATCCCAAAAATTAAACCTGAAATCCAAAAGGAGTTAGTGTCCTATTGTATGCCCCAGACCGAGCAATTCCGCAGCAAAAAAGATGGGGAGCATGTGCAAGGAGATTAGCTGTCATGAACGCCCCATAAGAATGACCTCCAACAGCAATTTTGTCCGGGTGAGCAACCTAAATAAATTATCAAGCATAAATACGAAAGATTCGAATGCAAAAACGAATTACGTTAATATCCGTAGGTAACAATTCAAGAAAAACCTACCCCTCTCCTGATAACTTCCTCAACCGCAGCCTCAGCACTAGAAACCAACTGTTCCACGTACCTGTTATAAATAATATACTTTTAACAACTATTCCACATGCCTTTATAAAAGGTATACAGTTTCTTTTGCGGTAAAAAAAAAAAACATAACTAGATAATTGTAAGAGTAACAACGATTTTTGACAGAGAGAACTTAGGTGCTTTTAATTAGATAGCCTTGTCCCATGTTTCTCAAAAATTCTGCTGCCTGTTATGCACATTTAATTTTACTTGAATTTTTAAATGTACTAGTGATATGCAATTTAATTAATTGAGCTGAAATTAAAAACAATAATAAAAATAATAATTTAAAAAAATTGATTGTGCTGAAACTTATTAAGTTAATTCAGAGAAGAAATCTTATGAAATAAACATTCCACGACAAGAACAGCAAATATTAATGTGTTGAACGAAAAACATATATAACACCTCAACTTTAAATTTTACGTAAATGCCATCTTAAAATGCATCAAAAGGTTAATTTCAAAAGTTAAAATGGAGGTATTTTTTATGTGATATGAAAAACTTGGGGTGGTATAAATGTAAAAAAGTTAAGTTTAGGTGTCAGATATGTAAATACATAGGACTTGGTTGGTATACATGTGAGTTATATAATGCTTTCAATATTTTATAACCATGAGTGATTTCCGTAGAAATAAGCACTGGACAAAAGGAGAAACAGAACAGAAGGAAAAACAGAAAATGACATCGTTAAGAATGTTACAGGTACAATAATCCAAAAATAGAAAAATAAGAAATGTATATTAATAATTTATAAAAGATATGGTATTGAGATCGTTGGAAAGTTGTAAAAGATAGGAGTCAATGCCATTCAAGCTAATTACTTGAAAGCTGTCCAAAAATAGAAAACTATTACAGTAATACAGTTAAAAATAATAAGCAATCATGCGACAAAAAATACCGATCATTTGCCTCTTCATCACCTTCACCAATGATTGGAATGGTTGGTCCAGACAATATAGCAAATCTGCAAATAAGAAGGAAATCAATTGCAGATAAAACAAAATTATGTAATAAGATTGGTTTCATTGTAGAAATAGCGGGAAGAAGAAAGTAACCATTTGTTATAATAACAAATTGAAAATTGGCAACTATCACAAAAACGTCATGTACTGAGATATTTCCAGGGGTAGAGCAGTAGACAAGTTTTTTAGAAGCTAGATCTCATCAATGATTCACATAATTAAAATAATAAATTCCAAAATAGTTCCCCGACTATTCATGTGGGATCAATTAAATCACAGACAACCACATTTCTCTAACATAGCCCATTGACTTCAAAAATTGATCCATGATGATCCCTTATGCAGAAAATCTGATACAAAATTGATCCTGCTTTAATCTCTTGATTACACAAAAATGATGCCAATTTAGTCCCAAGGAACCATTTTGCATCAACTTTTTATAGTCGATGGATTAAATGATGGAGATGTCATGCTTTAAAACTAAATTGGCCACAGTCAAAAAATTGGAATATTTTGAAGCTTAACATCATTCAATTTTGGAATGATTCTTAACAAACCCAACAATATTAAACGTGCATACACTTTTATTGTTGATGTCATTTTAACTACAAATTGACTGTATAGGTAGACTGGAAAACAATCCTTTGATCTAGCTAGTGTGTTGTGGCTAACATGAGTTAATACAAATTTTGATAAAAAAAATGTTTTGAAACATTCATTGATGATCGCGCTCATTTGTGCTAGATCAACTTGATGGACGAAAAAAGTTATGCCATGATTGAAAATCAATTTCAGAAAAAAAATATGTAATTCTATACTTCGATAATAGAGAAGGGAATTTAATGAACACGTCATTTGAGAGAAAAATGCATTAAACAATAATCTACTGTAAGGACAATAAAACGGCATTGCAATGCATAAAAACAAAAGTTTGCTTAATGTTTCACAAGCTATAAAGATTTCCATGAACATACCAAATCCTTATAGAGTGATGCTATTTACATAAAACGTTGTTTGTTTAAGAGAATGTCAAATCATATTTGAAAGTAAAAAAACACCTCATAGTGTTTAGGAATATTTTCCTAAAAAATATGAATATGTTCTAGTTTACATATAAATGACTTCAGTCACACTGTTTGATACCAGAGTTAGCCAAAAATCCGACAGGAACATAGATTTTATTGCACGAAAAAACAACAGGTTACAACCAAGAATAAAAAACTGGAAAGAAAATAGAGCATACACTAGTATCCCACCAAGGCTAGACAGAACAACTAGTGAACCAGCGGTGAGGTGGCTAGGAACATGGGGGAGAGAGGCGAAAGTGAGCATGGTGAGATAGAGGAGGGACGGTTGCAGCTAGGAGAAGGCAGGGAGGGTCAGCAGCAACTTCAGGTCGCTGAAAGGGTGCAAGAGACGAGATCGGCAGAGAGCTAGTGGAACAGGTAAAGGTTGGTAGCGGGTAAAGGGTGGGAAGGGAAGCGGCTGTGGTCGGGGAAGGGGGTTGGAGGGCATGGAAACTGGTTGTTGGAGGAAGACTGGCGGCTAATTGGGAAGGTTGGGAACAGGGTAGTGGGATGGGGTAAGCTTGGCGGCAAATAAACAAAGGAGATGGGGGTGCAAGGAAGATGATAGCAACAAAAAAGGAAAGATACAGATCACCTCAAGACAAGTTACAACCCAAGCACCTTCTCGCTGTCAAATACAGCCATAGAACGAAAAATGGACGTCGACAGCTGTCCTGACAGAAGTCTCAAAGCAAAAAATTAATCTTAATGAAATAAAATAATATATATATATAGTAGTAGATAAATAGGAAGGGAAAGAATCCTCCCCTTAGGCAGCAACCTTAGCCAAAAACCAAAGGGTTAGTCAAACCCCTTGTGGCTCCTTTGTTAAACAGGTTCAAGAGCTAGTTCAGCCCCTAAGTGAGCCCTGCGTCACTCTCCCGGGATTGGGAGCTTCGACCTCATTTGTCAAAGCTTGTGTTGACACGTTGACAGTGACGGAGTTGAAATCTATCAAATTTCAAAGATCTTCGACTACGACCATAGTAGCACCTAGATCCCATGGACAGTTGCACTGTCCCCTAAAGCACCTGAGAATTTTCCAGCACTTCCAATCAAACATCCATTTCGGTCCAATCTTCTAGGACTGCTCGTCACGCATATAATATTGAATCCTCCTAAAGTAAACCGCGGTTGGCTCACCCTACTATGATATAATGATAGTTTGAGTCTCTATGAATAGTGTTAGCCATTGCGGTAAGGTATCGATCATGATTTCCTAAAATTTCCTCTGTTGTGAATGTCCCAAGTTTGGAATCGACGCCTCATTCATATCATCCCCTATCTTCACCAAAACTGATCCCGCCAACGTTCCTCTGCTGGCAAGGGCACCTATAGACTTGAACTCTGTAGAAGGTATAAGGACAATATGCTTACCTCCTTTATGAAGGAGTGGGTGTTCCTAAAGCAATCATGTTGAGTACTACGGTCGAATTGTCACGGTCTCCCCAACATGTGTCAAGCATCCATGGGTACCACGTCACACCACATCTGATCCTGCAGCTGGTCTCTAATAAAAAACTCCATTAGGCACTTCCTGTCAATGCTGACTCTGTTCTTCTTCAATCACGTCAGAGAATAAGGGTGGGAATGCCTTTGAGTTATGACGCCCAATTTATTCATTATCTTCATAAACGCCAATTTCTTGTTCCTCTATCGATGATGAGACTGTATATCTTGTTCACAGTGCAATTGGTATAGAATAAGTTATGACGAAACCACTACGGCTCCCTCGTATCCTCAGTCTGTAAGACCAGTCGAAGCACGGTCATCTTGCCCTCAATCGGTGGAAGGTGGTACATGTCATCCTATTCTTCAGTTCTCTCTTTGTCGCTAACCTCCTCCACTGCACCCTGCACGGTAACGGACACAAGTCGACTCATCGGGCAACTGGAGTCGATGTGTTTAAATTCATCACATCTAAAACATTTTCGGAGTGGGACTATACTAGGAGTGCTACTCTTCTCGAGACATGACTAAGATTGATTAGATACAAATGGACATAATATTTGGAATAATAACATAATTTCCTTTTTACAATAAATCTGTCCCTGTCGATTCCCCCAAAAAAATTTCAAGTTCAGGGAAAGGTTAATCCACTTTTTTTGAAGAAAACAAGCTGAAATTTAAAAAAAAAATTATTTGCGCACCATCCATTAAAATTAACAGGAATGAGTCGGGAATAAATGAATGCTCACATAGACCTTAAATTCATCAATATAGTCTAATTGAACAAACTGACTCATAGTTTAGGAAAGCCATGACTAGGGATTAAGTAGGATGCAGAAATCAGACCAAAAAAATAGTAGAATGAGACAGTGTTCGCTAACTACATAAATATTTAACATTTGGAAGAATGAACGTCTATTTATGCAGTACAAAATAAAATGATAACCAAGTTGAATTAAGCTAAACCACAGTTGCATGCATAGCTGATTTCACCTTAAATGCAATCAGAAACCAAAGCATTACCGTTCATCTCTTCAAGTTTTCGACAAAATTATCACTCTAAATTCAAGCTTGAATTTTGCTAGTAAATCTAAATGATACCTTCTAGCCAACCATAAAAGAGCTGATGTGGAACCTATGCCCGCAAACTCATTTGGAGAGCCACGAACTTGCCCTGCTGCATCTTTGCTTTTGAATTCCCCTGGGTAAGACCAGACTAAACACGGGAGTGGCCCATCGGATGGGCTGTAACCAGGAGGCAAATAAAGAGTTGCAGTAAGTTGAACATCATCCTTCCTCTTGTACCTCACCATCTCCTTCTGCAACTCAGCCAGTTGTGGATACGGGTGGGGAAAATTCGTAATTTGAATAGTTTTTTTGTCTGGCCAGCTTTGTATGAAATATTGTGTGTTTTCAGTTTTTGATTCTTTGGAAGTAAGTATCTTTAGTTGCTCGATATTTAGCAAGTCATCATTATAATCCGACATCAATGCAACAACTGATTCATAATATTTTTCTCTGTCACTTTGCCATATTCGTTCTTTCTTTCCTTCTTGTCTGTCAACAGGATTCCTCTTAGAATTCAGTGAAATATATGATTTCAACAAGTAGGTAATAGAAACTTACATATCAAATAAATCTAAGAATGGAACATTTCCTTCTGGTGTTGCACCTCTTCCGTTTAGTAAAATGTAAATTCCTTCATCTTTGTTTCTTATTTTTGCAATAACATATGTTCCTTCAGCTGTTCGCCGCATCATTGGAGATCCTGGATCAGAGTAGACATCTTCTGATGATCTATCGAATAGTATTCGTGGGTTTACATCCTTGTGGCCTGGAGAAATTGCCCAAGTTTTTGTCCGACGAGTTTTATACCAAGACTCGTATACCAAGGCGAGGGAGTCATCACACCAGGAGATACCCCTACACAATATAAGAGAAGAATAGATATGACAAATATGATTCTAAAAAAGGGTAACTAAATAAAATAAAGAAAACAAAGTATATATAAGACAAGTTCTTTGATTTGATTACCGAGTATATACATTTAAAGTTATATCTGTGTTGTATGTAAAGTTACTAAAGAAGAACACTTGGTTCATGTCCTTCATAACCCAAGTATAGTGCAAAGAATGTTATTTCACTTTATAACTCGGTTCATTCATTATCTAAGTAAATCCCGTCAAATTAACCACATTATTTAACCTGGACAAGCTGCATCTACATTCAAAGTTATATCTGACTTGTATGTAAAGTTACTAAAGTAAAAGAATATTGGTTCATGTCCATCGTAACCCTAGTATAGAGCAAAGAAAGTTATTTCACTTTATAGTTCGTTTCTTTTATTATCTAAGTAAATCCGGTCAAGTTAACCACATTATTTAACCTGCACAAACTTGATAACAAAAGCAGGCCAAGCCACCCAATAGTAACTAGAATTAAAGAGTATTCCCTCAGAACAATTGGCCAAGCTATGGGATTACACCATTCCTTTTACTCACCAACCGCATTTTTATCATGAGTTTTTTCAGTGGTAGTACAAAAAAAATTTCCAAATTTATAAGCAGCACCAGGGGAAGTATGAAAGAATAGTCTTCTAACTTCTTAGTTCCATAGTCCACAGAGGAAAAAGAAGGATTAAGGAGCAGTTTGTTTTGCTTGCTTGGTTTAATTTATTGCACATGAACGCTTGTGTAAAGTAAAACATTGCAATACTGATTTGTAATTTTTAAAAACATGCTCCCTATAAAGCAACATTATACTTTTATGAATCTATTAAAGCAAATTAAAAAAAAAAAAAAAAAAACATTAATGGTTCTTAGCTATTACATGATTATTAACAATAAATGGTATTCATGTAGCATTATCGTCAAATGTGTGGTTCTATTTGAGGACTACAAAGATTAAAAGTCAGAAACCTAACAAGGTCACTAAAAACCAAATGTCAGATCATTTTATTTCTTAAAGAATGGCCACTATTCACATATGCACAAAAATTCCAACTCTCAATTTATAAAAAATTATAAAAAAAAACTGCAGTTTGTATGAATCACATTACCTCCCAATTCACATAAAAAAAAAAAGAAATAAGAAAAAACATGGCATACCCATAGCGAAGATCAAGTTTATGCAAGATATCAGGTTTTTCTCCGTTTCTAAACTCAGCTGGCTGTGTATAAACAATATCGCGTGGTGAAACTTCCACTTTGGCATCGCCTCCATCTTGCGTCTCTACCCTACAAGATTATCCATTCTAAATGAGACAAAAAGAAGAACAAACATAATGGAGTTTCAGGTTTATCATCAGCTAAAAATGGGGGAAAAGTTAAGATAATCCCAAACATTAAGCAGTCAAGACTTCAGAATAATAAGCACTGTGAGATGAAGTACATCACTTGATTATTAAAAATATTGATCTGAAACTACTAAAATTCGAACAAATGGCAATAAAGTTTAGGGTAATACAATTTGGACACATTAATCACAAGTTCAGCTATGACCATTTGTTATGGAGTATACTAAGTTATAAGCAATCTTTTCAAAGTTTCAATATGTGAGTATTCACTCATGCTAATGTTTGCATTCCTGTAAGTTGGCTTGTATTAGTAAAACTGGAAAGCACTTTAGTCCTTCAAGAAACATTATATTGGGAAAAGTAGAAAGACGTGTAAGAAGAAATGAAACATATAAAAAAATTAAACTGATAAAAGATATCTTGTAGAGGTATGGGGAGATAAAACAAATTTGTACGGGTTCGAAGTACCTTTCTCCCAGTTAAGTTACTTTATAAGATACTATGTCTCTCCAACCAGGTTTTATGGAATTTTGAGGCTTCATATCTGAAAATTCACCTTCAAATGTGAACAAAAGAGTTGGAAGTGTGATAGGAATAATATCATCAAATTTGAAACAAGTTTCTCATTAATGAGGAGGACGTCAGGATGTTTCCTAGCATACTATTGACATGACTTAAAAAATGTTTAGAATGGTAAATTAAGAATCACGTACTAAACCAAGAGTTGCCAAAAAAATATTATTCAAAAACATGGTTAACATGAAGGAAACACGTGAATGAGATCCTTAAATTCTTTTAAGATTATATCATAATCATTTTTACAAATTAAAATACTTTATAAACTGTATATCAAAATTAATAGTATGATTATAGAAAATCTAGTTTTAGATTTATAAAAAACTGATTTAATTACAATTAGTTAAATAATGCAAGGATATGGTAACTAAATTAATGCATCAGCCTAGCTATGTTACCAATTGCTGATTTTGAAAACCAGATAATTGATTAAATAGCAGATTCAAGGTGCCCAATAGGACAGTATACAGCATATATTTTACAAAAATAAACAAATATTTAATAGATGCATTAATTTAATAAAAAAAAGTAATTCACAAAAAATTGTGCCTTCTTTTCATTAGGTTGATAATATGAACACTATTTCTTTTGTACACCTTAGAAGTTCCTCATCTAACTCGTACTACTCAATAATGGACATGTAGGTGTCTCAATATTGAGAAAGATTACTCTCACACTCTCTTAGCAACTCTTATCTCATGATAGTTTGTTTTTGAACTTCTGAAGAAAAATCTTTCTCTAAAAAATAATTAATCAAACATATATAATGATGTTTGGATGAAGAGACATGTTACCCAACCATAAAAACCATTCAAAACTATGTTTGGATGAGGAGATGCATCTTATTAACAAAAAAATATTATCCCTTTTTTATTTATATAATGCTGCTCTTATACTAACTTAGATAATCATGTTATCAAAGAAATCAATTAATTCAAAACTAGTTGATTGGGCCATAAAAAAACATTGTGACAAAAAATAATAAATGCAAATGCTTTCTTTTATATTTTATATCACAAAAATTTTGGAAGAAGCAACAACTTAGAATTCAATAATTCTAAATTCCATTAACTATTTGTCTAAAAGTAAATAAAAAATGGCATGAAAAACTATAAACCTTGAACTTCAAGCTACAATAAAATAGACAAAATTTATTAAAATCTTAAATCCACATCTAGTTCATTATTTTTAATGTTACGTCAAAAAAAATTTTAAACTGCACCATGACGCGGGAGCAACAGAATTACGGGGCATGCAAGAAGTTTGCAATATTGTGGAATTGAAGGATCTTGTGATTCTGAGACAATCCAAAATGAGTAACGCGAATTATCATTGAGAGTAACAACTCCAATATCATCTCTTCTCTTCAAAAGTCTACCACTAGTAATGCTTAGAGGGATCAGCCACAGAATTGCAATGATTTTGACTTCTTCAATGCTTTCAAACAGGTGTTGTGCTTACACATTCCTGGACAATGCAACAAAGTGGCTCATTTTCGTGCCAACTTGGCTTTAGATGATCGTTTTTTTTGGAAACATGTAAGTACGATAATGAACTTTCTTCTATCCTTTTAGATGATAGATCACACTTTTATATAAGCCTGGTACTTTTTTCCCTCATTCTTTAACTTTTGTAACATTTTGATATTTTAATGCAAAATGCACATCTTTCAAAGAAAATCTCATCCGGTTGGCAAATTCAGCAAGAAATGTTTCCTTTTCTAGCTTATTTCTTATCCCATTTCTTCTAATTAGGGTTTCATTCTAGTAGGAGATTATTAATATGCTATTTTCTATTTTGGGGATTATTAACAGTTGTGTTTGTGTTTTGGATACTGTGCTCTCTGTTTTATGCTTTTTAGAGTGTTGTATAATTTCGTTTGCAAGTGGTATGCTTGTAGCTTGCTCAGGAATAGGTAGTAAATCCACCTCACAACCCATACCCCGCCGTTTCGCCGTTGGCTCGTTGCCCCTGCTGTTTGACAGCAGAAAGCTGTTGTTGGGCAACAGAAAACAGCAGTTTTCTGCTTCCAGTTCGCTGTCCAATTGTAGTTCATGCTGGAATTCATTCCTTCCACGTTCTTTGCCCCTCCTATAACTTCCTATCTCTTTCCTGTATTCCCTCACGCCTTCAAGGAGCCCTAGAATGGTTTCATACTTTCCTGAAATTATAGATATAATTACTAAAGAAAATGAATAGTCCATTGTTTTTTATTCATTACATAGAGATTGATCCTTCATTCATAGTTCCCACTTAAGAGCTAGGTTGACTCCGTTGGCGTCTCTAAATACATCTTAGTTTTTTTAGTACCATTGATTCTATAATAAATAATAATTTTATAATTTGATTATAAATTAAGTGCTCTTACTATGCAAAAGCAAATCAACATTCAAGATAATTATTTTTTCTAACTTCAGAAAGAAGGAATTTATTCCATCATGTAAGTTAACATTTTTGGCTATTTAATCAATTATGTTCCAAAAGTTAAACAAGATGACTCTTTATGTATCAAATAAACAAAGAACAATTCATAAATATGAGTCGTTAATTGCTTGGGATTAAGATTAATCTATGTACGATCATCATGTTTATTTCATTTGAATAATTATTTAAAAATGAAATTATTTATGATTCAAAATAATCTTGTTTAGGTATCAAATAATCATATTATACAAAGTATTTTCATTGTTAATGACTCACACATTAAAAGATTGTACAAGGCAATCTCATAATGAAAGTGCAACGTGTCAATAATTTAGGATTAGGATTCAAATATAAATTTATTAATTAAAAATACTTTTTACATTATTTTAATTAAGCATTATCCATTTGTATATGATGCATACATACTATGTTTATGATCACATCAATAACCATGAAATTTTAATGACATGTAAATTATTAACATGTAAGCATAAAACATAAACATAAAATATTATTTTATATAATTAATGAACAATTGATGAGTCAAATAAAATTCTTATTATCTCTAAACATTAGTTTGTAGTCTAGAAAAAACTTGCACTTATGCATCACATTTAAAAACCATAAGTTTATTTTTATTTATCATTTTTAACAACTGAAAGCTACTTGACTTGGTCGCTTCCACACCTCCTATCTTCTCTCCATATTTGTGACAATTGGTTTACGTTTCACTCCTTTAATTTCACATGAACCAAAAAAGTAAGTATTTGGTGTGTAATACACATATTTGGGGATTAGTTTGGGATAAAACTCTAAAATGGTTCCCCCGATTATTCATACATAACCAACTTAATCCAAGAATATCACATTTCTCCAATTTAATCACTCGACCATATAAAAATAATCCAAAACCATCTCTCCGGACTAAGTTGAGATCAAGTTAAATTTCTACATGAGGGACCATTTTGAATCATTTTTTTAATAATTTATGGATTAAATTGAAGAAATGTGATATCCTTGGACTAAATTAGAGAAATGTGATAGTCCGAGACTAAATTGATATAGTCGATAGATTATTTCAGAATATATGAGTCTCGTTCCCAAATATTTTTACTTCTTCTCTTTTTGTCACTTGTGCCTAGACTGCACATAACCCCATTCCTAGGTCCACCTATTTAAGATAGTTGAAAGCCATATATTGCGATGAGGGAGAAAGAGGCGCCTATTATATCATATGGATTCTAACAAAATTTTGCAATAACAAGCCTCCAATCATTTTTTTGTTGGCCATAACCTTATCCATTGGCGAACAAGTGACTCTTTGAGCTCGATCATTGCATAATCAAAGTTGTTGTCATATGTCATCATCTCTAAAATAGGTGAAACTATAAGAATGGCAAACAAGTGACTCTCGAGCTCGATTATTGCATAATCAACATTGTTGTCATATGTCATCATATCTAAAATAGGTGAAACTATGAGAATATAAAAGACACGACTATTGTGAAATTTATAATGCAATTCCTTCTTCATTATGGTGCTATGTTGGTGATTGCCCCAAAAGGAGTCTTTGATAATCATTACTCCAATCTTCTTCATTTCTTGCTCTTTCTTGCTCTTTCAATAGACTAATGTAGGTCTTACCTCTTTTGGTAATGGCCCCAAAGGAGTCTTTGATCATAACGTGATCACCCATAGCAAATTTGATATTATTAACTATTGTTAGACGTAAATACTTTATATAGACACAAGAGAAGATGGCTTATATAATACTCAACGATTATCAACGATGCATGAGAAGACTTGTTTCGTCCACGAGAATCACCAATAAATGTTTCCTAAGGGGGAGGATAGTGCTCAAGGTTTGGGATAAGCCTAATGATGACGATGTGTTTCAGCAAAGATGTAAAAGTGGCAAGAGTGACATCAACTACAAGAAACCACCATACCTCAAAATAAGGTGAGCCCCTATAATACCACTCTAAAAAAGCGCAATGAAAAGAAAATTATCTAAATATAAGAAACTTCATCATCATCATAACTAGTCTTATCCTAACTAATTAGAGTTCTCTTTATGACTCATTTTTCATTCACTCTTATTGAGTTCAACCTACGATGTCTAACACATATTAGCTTAGATCCTCCCCTCCTTCCAAATCCTTTAACATTGATTTTATCTACTTCTCTAAAAAAATTGCTCACCTATGTAAGCGGTGATCCATATTTCTGATTCCATCATCAAATATTAAATTCTGGCACTTGCATCTATCCAGTAGAAAATATTTTAATGGTCATTTTAATACAGCTGAGATGTTTACAATTTTCAGAGAAGATGAATTTAATATAAAATCAAGATTGAATAGACAAATGCTTCCTTCACAGAATCATTACTAAAGAAAAACAAATATAAAAATTTGTTCTTTTTCTTAAAGAAAATAATGGATATTTTTTCCTCAAAGAAAATAGCCTGGTCTGATCAACCTTATTTGTTTTAACAAGTACAAGCAAGTGGTTAGAATATAGAGACTCTCTCCACTTTTGTAATGATTTAAAACCAAGAACACCAGACATTTTAAAGCTTCAAACCATCAGCCTGGCTTTATCAAAAGCTCAAACCAACAGAAGTATCTTTTGTAACTCTCAACGTACTAAAGACTATTCGTCACAGCAGTTTATAATGAAACATAAACAAAATTTCAGTTTATTATATCGATATAAGCTTCAATTGATTCCTACTTGTTTCCACCACTAACATCAAGCACAATAGCGTATACTGGGGGGAAATAAGGAGTGAGAGAAGTAAGAGGCAGAGAGCAGCCATAAATTATAACTACGCCTACGGATTAATTTTCTATTACTCTTAATTTCTCTTTCAAAAAATATAAACAAGAAAAGTGGAACGAGCAAAATTACCAGTAAATTGTTGAAGGCTTGTCTGGTCTCCAGTTAACTGAACGCTTTCCCCTACGCACGCTGTTAAAAGCAATCGGAATATGTTCAGCAAGTGGTAAGTCGCATATTTCTTTAATAAACTCCCCATCGGCAGTCCATAAATCAACTTTCTCTGGAAATCGTGAGCAGGGAACCATGAATGAATATGGCCGGTGGATATGGGACACTAATAAGTATTTCCCATCAGGAGATGGATCAACTGATGTATAAAGAGCAGGAGGCCCAATTGGTTTCATTTTCCCATCTGAGGCCAATAACAGCTGTGTAACAGCATAGTAGTCAAACAAATCTTTGTCATGTTCATCTTTCAGCAGATCTTGGAAAGTTCTAACTTGAACAATTTTCTGCTTCTCATTTGATTGAATTTTTGGGCTTGCAGGAACCAGGGGTTTCTTCGGTGGTGATCCACGATTAACAGGAATGGAGCAAACTAATAATGTTGAATCATCAACCCAAACAAAGCTACATAATCATCATATAAAGATGTTAGTAAATGATGTAAGAGCATGTTTGGGATCACTTTTGAATTTAATTTTTTGCTCCTATTTTAAAAGCATATCAGTTCAGTGCATTTTTTGTATGTTTTATATTTTGCTTTTGAAAACAAATTAGCTTATTTTTAAAATCACTTTTTAAAAACAATTAAAAATGTTACAACATACAAAACATATTTCATTTAAAGTAAAAACATAAACAAAATAAATAAATAAAAATAAAATAAAATAAAATAACAAAAAATCAAAATCAAAAGTGATCCCAAACGGCACATAAGTTAATACTAACTTCTCAAATATCGCATTCAAACATATATCATCTGACTGAAAAAGTGGCTTAGCCTTTCCCGAATCAACATCTGCAATCCATACTCTCAACTTGCTGCATTTGTTGTCTTCCTAGTTCAACATATGGGCATATGAGTGCATTCTAAAATAATACAAAGAAAAAAATAATATCAAATGATCATCTAGTCACCTCATCTGTACGAATGCTGAAAGCCAAATGACGTCCATCTGTTGACCTAGTTTTAAATAAAGTTAATGATTAATTGCAGAAAAAAAAGGACTAGAGTAAAAGAATACTCGGATTTTTTATGACATCCAATTTAAACTGAATACATTAAAATAAATGTAATGATTGCATTACCAATAAAATTAGTTAAAACAAAAGGAAATGGCTGTCTTACTGACATTGCGGTGGACAAATTAATATATATTGTATATAAGAAACTGAATTTGGATCATAGTATTAGCGAATGAAGAAATTAGTGCTGATTTTTTGGCTGCCATGGCTATCACTTAAAAAGGCAGTTTTTAGAATTATGATTTTGATTGGTGCTGAATCATAGGACAATTGGATCTCAAAATATCCAGGTTTATACTAATTATTACACAATTATTTGGGATATACAAAAGGTATCTTGTGCGGAAATTATGGAAGTCAGTTTGTGCAGAATTAGTTTATGACGCAATCGAACATTTAACAGGGACAATGTGAGAATCAGGATTCATAAAGTCTACCTAACAAGTGGTATAAATAGCTGAGATAAGGTTTGAAGACAAGATACGATGCAGCAGCAGAAGATAGAAGACCCACCGGCAATCTTATAATAGATATATTTGCAGCAAATAGAAAGTATAGTTAAACACAGCATAAAGGTAAGAAGACATGGTTACAGTATATAAAGCAGTTGGTGAATATTCAGTAAAGAGCACATCTCAACAATCAGTTGTAACCCGGCAATCAGTTGTAACAACCCAGGAGACAGGGTTGTTATTCTCGTACACTGCTATCAGGTATCTTGAAGTAAGCAGAAACTGATTTGGTGCTTTCAGCGTTATTATCCCTTGACAAGCTGATGGGTCTTAAATAGACTTACAGTTTGGAACAAAGCAGACTAAAGCTTGATTTGGATATAGCTTTAGTAAATATGTCAGCTGACCGATCTTGGGTGTTAATGTGATGAACATGAAGTTATTTGGAGTTGATCTGATCTTTTGATTAAGTGATAATCAATCTCAATATACTTTGTGCGAGCATAAAAAACAGAATTGCTCGCAAGCATCATGACTAAGATATTATCACAATAGACAGGAGTTGGTTGAAGTAAAACTAGATCAAAGTCAATAAGTAGGCCACGAAGCCATAAGATATCTGAAGTGGCTGCAGCCAGAGCAGGATATACAGCTTCAGTAAAGGATTTGGCTATTGTATATTGTTTCTTAACTGTTCATGCAAAAAGTGTCACCCAAGAAAAAACAAAAACCAATGATAGATTTGTGATTACTCCAATCAATAGCCCAGTCAAAATCAGAATAAGTGTGTAGAGTGAGGTTAGTTGGTTGAATAAGAAGTCCGAATTGATTGGTTACTTGTAAATATTGAAGTAGCATCTTGAATAGCTAACAATGATACGTGGTTGGTTTGTGCATATGTCGACTCCAAAAGTTGATGGAAAATGATATATTTGGCCTAGTAATAGTAAGATAAGGATCCAGTGAATTGTCTGCATAGGGTCGGGTTGCTGAAAAGACTTTCAAAGATAGAGTCATGGTGCTTCTTAGTCGGTACAGGAGTGGAAACGGCTTCGCAGCCATCCATTTCAGTCATGTCTAAGAGCTGTAAAAGATACCTTTGCTGGCAAAAGAACAGATAGTTGTCTGTCCTGTAAACTTCAATTGCCAGGAAATGATAAACTGGAAAATTTTATTTCATTTAAAATCTGGAATTTAATTTGGATAAAACTGTTAAAATAGTTTGTGAGTTATTCCCAATTATAAGAATAGCATCCATATATAAGATCAATAATATTATCCTTGCCTTGATGAGATATGAGACGTGTTGGATCAGCTTTGTTGAATTTGAAACCTAACCTGAGAAAGAATTCAGATAGAGTAGCAAATGTTGTGGATGGAGCCCGGTTAAGCACAAAAAAAAAAAAGAAAAAAAAGGTGTTTTCCCCCTCCTGCCTCCCGTTCCCATCTCCCGCTCCTCTGTCGCGAAATGTCGCGACCGTTCCCAACTCTCCTTTCGTTTTCGCGAATCAGTGCCAGCCCCCGCTCCCGCCTCCCGCCTCCCGCCTCCCGCTCCTCTGTCGCGAAATGTTGCGACCGTTCCCAACTCTCCTTTCGTTTTCGTGAATCGGCCCCAGCTCCCGCCCTGTGAAGCGAAGCAATGTTTCACACATTTAAGTCGCAAACAGGCAGCATTTCCACTGTGGTGCGTGTGGTTCGAACGACAAGAAGAAATCGCATGACTCTCTTTTTGATTTTGCACGACCTCTTTTGTGTTCTTCTTCGGCATATTTGCTTCCTCGAGATAAAGGAAGAGAAGTGCAAGTAGTAGTTCCTTGCAGCAGAAGAAAGTAGAAAGAATAAGAAGATTGATCTCCTTTGGTTTCTTCTTGGTGGCTTCTGGCAGGAAATAAATTGGATTTATTGGGGAAAAAACATGAAAAGATTGATGAGGCTGAATAGAATCTGTTAGATCAACAAGTTTTGGGGGTTATTCAATTGACCTATCGAGGTCCGTTGCTTACGTCGTCAAGGAGATTATAACTGTAGATCTCATGGTAACCTTATCAGGTATGTATGAAAAACCATTGGCGAATAACAATGTATACTTGATGAAGAAGTTATTCAATTTGAAGATGGTAGAAGGTATTTCTGTTGCTCAACACCTGAATGATTTCAATATTATCACAAATTAATTGTCGTCTGTTGAAATTGATTTTGATGATGAGATACGTGTGTTGATATTGTTGGTATCATTGTCAAATAATTGAGAAGTCATGAGTATGGCAATTAGCAGTTCTGTATGTAAATCTAAACTAAAATATGATGATATTCGTGATTTGATTTTGGCTGAGGAGGTGCACATGAAAGATTCTGGCGAGATCTGAGGTTCGAGTTCGGCATTGAATGTTGATTTCAGAGGGAGATCGCAGAACATGAACTCAAATAGAGGGAGATCAAAATCAAAGTTTGGTCAGCAGACAACCTGCTGGAATTGTGGCAAGGCTGGCCACATAAAGAGGAACTGCAAGAATCCCAAGAAAATGGAGAATGAAAGCGCAAATGTGGTATCTGAAGAAGTACAAGATGCACTTTTGCTGGCAATTCATAGTTTTGTTGATAAATGGATATTGGATTCAGAAGCTTCTTTTCATACAACATTCCATCGAGAATTGATGCGAAATTATGTTGCAGGTGACTTTGAGAAAGTATATCTGGCAAATGGAGAAGAGTTGAATATGGTAAAGTGGGTCCCGGTCACCCATTCTGATTGTTCCACAAACATATTGTAGAAAACCACAGAGCTATAAAGAAATCTTGCAAGATGAAAATTCGAGCAAGTGGGAGCTGGCAGAACTTCCACCAGAGAAGATGGCATTACACAACAAGTGGGTGTACATGGTGAAAACTGAGTATGATAGCGGTAAGAGGTACAAGGCTAGACTTGTTGAAAAAACTTTCAGCAGAGGCAGAATATTGCCCATGCAGTGGGAGTTGTAAGCAAAGACAAGAGTAACTCAGGAAATAAGTTGGAGGTGCAAGGCTATGTGGACCTTGCTGATATGTTGACTAAGGGTGTTACTCTTAAGAAACTGAAGTTGTACACAACTTCAATTGATCTTTTGGTGTGAAGACAGAAGCTTTGAGTTGCAGAGGTGAAAGATTCATGTTTGAAGAAAAGGGTGACGCTACCAGCGAAGGAGATCAGTTTGAGAAAGGAGATGTTGTCTGTGTATCGGTCTCCAAGTGGGAGATTTGTTGTGGATGCAGGCCGGTTAAGCACAAAAAAGGTGTTTTTCCAGCTCCCGCCTTTCCTTGTGTTTTCGCGAATCGGCGCCCGCTCCCACTCCCGCCCTATGAAGCGAGGTGATGCTTCGCACCTTTAAATCACGAACAGGCAGCAGTTCCACTACGCTGCGTGTGGTTTGAACGAGAAGAAAAAATCGCACGGCTCTCTTGATTTTGCACGGCCTCTTTTGTGTTCTTCTTTAGCAGGTTTGCTTTCTCAGGATAAATGAAGAGAAGTGCAAGGAGTAGTTCCTTGCAGCAGAAAGAAGTAGAAAGAATAAGAAAATTATTCTCCATTGGCTTCTTCTTGGTGACTTGTGGCAGAAAAGAAATTGGATTTATTTCTCTTGTAAGTTTATCTTCTTCGGTGTATCTCAGTGTAGAGAGAGAAGAAGAGAATGCAAGGAAGTGAGAGATCCCTCTTGTAAGTCGAGACGATCTACTGGTGTATATTGCTCAAGTAGTAGAATCCTTTGCAACTCCGTGAACATAGACAATTTGTCGAACCACGTAAATTTGTGTGTTCCTAAATTCACGTAAATTTGTGTGTTCCGTTGTGTTACTATTTTCTGGTGTGAATTTTCTCGTTCTATTTTTCGATTCGTCAAAGATCGTTCTTCTATTATATCTATACCACAACAACAAATCATTGGCAGGGAGCTTGTTCAAGACCATATAATGTCTTTCTGAGTAGGCAAACAAGATTAGGAAATTGATGACCAATAAAGGTCATGTAAGAATGCATTCGAAACATCAAATTAAAGAATAGGCCATTGTTTAAGAAAATCTATGATAAATAGGATGCAAAGAGTGGGCATCTTATCAATGGACTGAATGTGATATCAGAGTTAACCCAAAAATCACAAAGAAAGGATAATTTTATTGCTGAAATTCAAAAGGGTTATAAAACAAGACTAAACAGGAAAGAAAACACAACAAGACACCAATATTCAGTTAGGGCAGGATAAGACCATCGTTGGGTGGTGGTGTAAGGTTATTGGGATTGGTGGCGACAAAACAGATGTGTGTAGAAAAGGTTGTGGTTGCAGCAGGTAGCAGGAAAGTGGAGTTGGCAGTTCTAGCTGGCAGGAGTAGGGATGATTGTAGCAAGGGAAACGATAGGGACCAGGTGGCTGTAAGCAAAAAGGGAAAGGAGAGCGGCAGTTACAACAGGTGAGTAAGACTAGAGGGGTGGTGTTTGCGGCTGTAGGAGGGGAAC